ATCATTTGAGGTTGTTTACCCATACAAAGTTCGTGATAGAATGTTATTTCCGAGAAATACTTCTTTCCCCAGTAAAAGATTCGTTACTACTTGACAAAAATTTGTCTGCTAAGGGGTTTCTCTTCTGAGATCTTTATTCCCCAGTGAAGCATTCCTCATTTCTTCACAGGAAGAAAATGGTTCTTCTCCCCAGAAATTCAGAAGTTGTTTGAAGTCAAGATGATTTATTTTCAGTGGACTGCAATTTATTTTTGCAGCATCTTCTCCAAAGTCCATTCTTTAGTGAAATTTCTCCTCAGTGTTGACATGATGAAGTTGCAATCTTGCATCGCAGTTTTTACCCAGTGGTTGGTAGTCCAGATTGTTTACTCTTCAGTAAAGTTTGCCATTCCAAACTGGGGAATATTGATGTAATTTTTCTTTTTGCAAGTCTTGTTAGTCTTTTATGACAAGAAGCATACCAGCAAATGAATCAATAAGGGTCTGTATGTGACGAACATGAAGGTTTTTGCATAATGGGATCTAATTTCCCCAGTGAATGCTCACTTCTGCTCAGAATGGAATCATGTATCCTGAGTAAAGGCGTACTCTCGCCCAGAAATAATTCCTTATCTCCAATGAAAGCATATCCATGCATAATCCCCACTGAGGTCATCACTCTTGTTGAGAGTTTGTTTAAGAGTTTGTCCCCTCCAGAGGGCTTATCTCCAAAGGACTGCATTTCAGCACGATTCTATACAATCTCCTTATTCAGTGCAGTTCACTTTGCTTCGACAAATCTGGAAAAGATCATTTCATTGGATTGTATACCTTTGTTATATCCCCTTGAAGTCGATACTTTGCGACTCTGCGGTTGGTATTTATCCCCTCGTGAGGTTGTCGTTCATCGTCTTTATGAATTTCATATCTTTTCTCCCTAGGGAAGTTTGCCAAAGTCAAGTTTTCTTGAGAAAAAAAAGATGTTTGACTAACATGTCTGTTATGCCCAATGGAGCAAGTCTCCAATTTTTCTGGAGCGTCGTGCATAGAAGAACGACATTTAGGGTTCTTTGATCCCCAGTGATAGAGCATTGCTGAAATATGTCCTCGGTGGAGTTCTGAACTTCAAGCTTATGGTTCAAAGATGCCCTCCTCTTCCCAAGTGATGACTGTTACTTCTAGCGGTAGTATCCCTAGTGTGGCTTGGGTAGAATTCTTTTATTCACGAATTTATGAGATTTCCCAGTCAAAGTCACTTTTATTGAGGACTTACATCAGAAGGTCCCAGTTCTAAGAGATATTCTCTTTATCCTTGGAAAGAGATGTTGGACTTTTCCCCATGGAAGTGGGGAGTTGGATCAGAGTTCAAAATTTTCTCTGAACTGCAATTTATTTTTGCAGTATTATTCCCCAGGAAGTTACTCCCTCGTTTATATCGATCTTTAGAGGTTGGTGGTTCCGAATCTCGGTTCCCTATTGAAGTTTAGATTTCCTTTTCTTTATAGAAGATCAGGTGTGCAAGGATAATCGTTCGGAAGTTCATTGTCTTCTCAGCAGCCGATTATAAATGTGTTTCCCTTGTGCATTACTAAACATACATCATTACATTGCATCTACCAAAATGCATAGCATTTCCATTGTATGGAGCATTACACTACAAAATTTTCTCAAACATGCATAAGTATAAGCCAATTATGTTTACTTGTGGTGACTAAATCATTATGCGCTCAGATTTGAATTATCTCCACAACAAGCCTAGGGTGACTCTATTTTGTTTCCCCATCAGCGTCTGTTTGATTTACCACCAGTCGGGTCTTTGTTATTTCCCATTTTTCCCGTAAGTCGTGGTTTTTTTCTCTCTTACCCTTGCAAGCCTTTGGTTATTTTACCCGTGTTTGCTTTGCTGTTAGAGTGCAATTAAGAGTCGGTGTATAGCCTTTCTTGCTTCTCAAGTATTTGAGTATCCATACTTGGTGTGTGGTAATTCATATAATTGCCACTCTTGAAGAATTACACCCCGTCTTCGGCCTGAGGAATTTTATAGTTCTTGCATATTTGTAACCTATCGAAAGCCCAATGTGTTTTGGAAATCCTTGTTAGAGTCTGCTTTGACCGGTATCTTTATCTTGTAGAGTTAACCTTCGATCGATGCTCTCTGAAGGTCCTGCTTAATCGGTTCCTTGGTCTTGGTTTATCCATGTTGGTCAGGTTCTCCTTTTATTAGCTTAGCTAACCCTTCCTGTTAAGAGTCATTCAGTGTCTCTTCAAAGTCCAGTTGTCTGGCGTCCTTGTTTAGACGAATGCATCATTTCTTGTTGGGGATTTCTTTGGTAGTCTCGTTCTTGTGTTTGTTATTAACTCTGAACATTTGTTTCTTGATGCTCGATTTCGCTCGTGTGTGTATAACTCTTACCAGATATGCATATCTTTATCCCCTGAAAGTTCACCTTTGATCGGCATTCTTTTCTTAGGAATCTACCTTCTACATAGTATTCCTTGATGAAGATTCCCCTTCGTCTGGTTTCTTTATCTTGAAGTCCACCTTCGGCTGGCACCCTTGAAATCCACCTTCAGCTGGTAACTTCTGTTGAGAGTCCCCTTCGGTTGGTTTCTTTTTCATTGAAAGCTCGCCTTTGATTGGTGTTCTTTTCTTAGGAATCTACCTTCGTCATAGTATTCCTTGTTAAAGATTCCCCTTCGGCCGGTTTCTTTATCTTAAAGTCCACCTTCGGCTGGAACCCTTAAAATCCACCTTCGGCTGGTACCTTTTGTTAGGAGTCTTCTCGGTTGATCTCTTTTCAGTTGTAAGTTTGCCCTTGATCGACACTCTTCACCCTTAAATCCACCTTCGGCTGGTACCTTTTGTCAGGAGTCCTCTTCGTCTGGGCTCTTTTCTTTGTAAGTCTACCTCTGATCGATAGTCTTCCCCCCTTTAAATCCAACTTCGGCTGGTATCATTTGTTAGGAGTCCCATTCGTTTGGTCTCTTTTTTTGGTAAGTTCACCTTCGATCGATGTTCTTTTCAGAGTCAATGTATATTTGTATCCCTATTAAGTTCACATTCAATTGGTGTTCCTTCGTTAGATCCTTCTTCGCTCGGTCTCTTTCTTTTGTATGTCTAACCTCGACCTGACATCCAAGATATTTATCCAGATAACTACTGCAATCCCAAAAAATAAAAATACAGAACGCCAAAAAAATATAATAACACCTGACTGGCTTCGGTGTGCCAATTTCCAGGTTCTTTTAGTATTAAATCTCCTTCCACCTTGAATGTTCGAAAGGCTAGCGCCAATCTCACCTTCAGGTTAAAGATGATTAAATAGGGGCAGCTATTGCATCCCAAAATTTTCCCTCCTAATTTATTTTATCTGGATTAGGTTTTTTTCATTCATCTTCATACATTCCATTGGGTCACTAACATAGCATACATTTGCATTCCAATAAAGCGCCTGAGGTTCAAAAGGGTGAATCAAGTGAGGAGTATTTCTAACTACAATCAAGTGATTTTCTCAAGGATGAATATTTAGATTTAGTATTTTCTTTATGGAGGGTGAATTAAGTCGTCTTCTCGTATGGGGTTTTCATCCTTTAGTCAAAGTGTGGTTTATCTGATGATGGCTATTGGAGACTCGTCTTTCATCAAATCAAGGCATGCTTGTTGCTTAAATCACAAGGTACTGATTGTGACATTAATGCACTAGACTCATATGTTCTTTAGTCAATTAATCAGGGTTGGATTCATCATGATCCTATGTATATTGTCTGATAAGATTTTGTTGCTCAAGACTCAATTCATGAATAATGGGTACAATCCAATCCTTTTAGGATGCTCATTCGAAGCCTTTGGGTTCAAATTGGGTTGTTAAAGTCCATAATTGAGAGCTCATTAGAATGTTGAGGTTTTGGCAAAGGAAGTGAATTTCATTTAAATATAACTCAAGATTACATCTAATCACATTCAAGTTTCTACTTTGAATACGTGGAATGCACAAAAGTGAGAAGTTAATACTCCAAAATCATTTTGATTGTTTGACAAATATCTTGTTGAACTCACATCATGACCACGGGATCTTTTGTAAAACCTTAATCAAAGTAGATTAGATTTTCAAGTTCAATTTGAAAGAGGAGAATGCTTTGAATAATAGGTATTTTGTCATTTAAAGTCAAGAGTTCACAAGGTTACATAACCACTTAAGTTGCATTTGTATCTTCATTCATGTTCTATTTTTCCATTACAAGAAGACTGCAAATCTCATTTCATCACTATTTTCAAAAAGAAAAGAAACCAAATATTACTACATTCAAAGTGTATCAAATACATGAAAAAACTACATAAACTGTTTGTCTTAACCCTAATGTCATAAGCTTTCTTCATTTTTCTCCAAGTAACTTTCATCATGCCTTGCCTTTGAATGCTTTAACCAAATCCCATGTTTTCTTTCAAGCTTCAAAACCAGGCTGACAGTTAGACCAAACCAGCTATACATACAATTGTCAAAATCGTGCCAAATAAATCCCAAAAATGCTTGATGAATCTTGCTCCAAAGACGCCATTTACACTATTCTAAAACAGTTGCCGTGATAAATCCTGTTTCAAACTTACAGTTAGAATAATATACTAATGGTCAGCCCTGCATTCAAATCCAAACCTAGTTTAAGATGCTACTGACCAAAGCCCCTGCATCAATAAACAAAACTTCGAAATGATTCAAAAATCCATATCCAAACAACTTGACTTGCATATGACCATCAACCATACATAAACCCAAAAGAGAATAAAATATCTTGCTATTCGAAAAACATCATAAAACAAGACCATGAAAATTTGGAATGGAGAGGAAATAAACCAACTCAGAAGTAAGAATATTCTAACAGCCTCATAACGAAAACAGAAAAGTGGTTGATTTACCAGTTCATGGCAAATTAGCAGCTCAGTTCAATTTAAGGGAAAGGTCAGGAAAATGCATATCGAAAACCTTGACATTGCAGTTCATGAGTAAAACCAAAATATCTGAATCTTACAAACCATTCTCCCCTTTATGCCCTATAGGAACCAACCTAGTGCATTCTTCAAGTAATTGCCTGCATATTATCCAAAAAAACCAAGTTCATCAGAAAATCCAGAGTAAAAAACTGCACCATAACTCGCTCTACATTATTCTTCAGTGGGCGGCCTGCTTACAATTTTAAAACAGTTGAGGGTTTGATCAAAACAAATATTAGAAGATGAGTGCAAAGGGAGTACAAGTTTTCTAAAAAAAACAAACAGCTAACTAACTACTGTAACAAAAATACAACTCAGCCACATTCATAACTAACCCTAACTACCAATTTCTTCTTGGATTCTAGTATAAGTTGTATAACTAACTGCTACTAACTAACAATTTCTATCAGAACTAACAATTCAACAGAACTTCTCCTAACGGATTTCGTAATAGTCTGTAACTAACTCTCTGTCATTCAGATCTCACCTTTGATTTCCTAACTAACTTTTCTCATCCAATGGCCAAGATTCTTCAAGCCTCAACTTCATCTCTATATAACTTCACCTCACCTCTAATCCCAGGGGAGGTTTTTTTGGGGCTCATACTTCAACTTCCACCTTCATTCTTCATCTTCAACCTTCAACCTTCAGCTCTCGATTTCACTTCCACTCCACTTTCACCTTCTCTCCCAATTCATCATCTTCTCCCATCAACTTCACCTTCAACCTTCATCTCTGAATCTTTTATCAATCAGAACAATCGTCCTTCAATCTTCATAACGCATCAACACAGTCTCATCGCATACCAACGCCTCATACAGCAACCACCTCACGCTCTCTGCAAAACTGAGTTTATTTCTCGGTATCTTTGCTATGTGCAATTGAAAGATTTGTAACAGAAAACGAAAAGGCCGAGAAAGAGTAGCAGAAGAAGAAAATTGAATCAGATAAAGAAGAGGAATAAGTTCAAAGTCTAAGAGGATTGTTCGTACCTGAGAATTCAAGACTCTCTGGTTTTCTGTTGGTGTCATCACCGTCGAAGAGCCGTCGGAGCTACTCTGGCAGGTAAGCTTCAATCTCCCTCGTTTCTTCGCCTTTTCGCATAAAGCTTGTTGCTGCATCATGCATCTTGACTTGATGAATAATTCCCCTAATGCCTCAAACTTCAAATCAGCACCGTTATCATTTAAATCTCAATTTAAAAGCTCATAAGGTTTTCTATTCATTAAGATTTGAGGAGAAATCTTGAAAAGCGTAGGGGATATTTGGCAATAGAAGGAAGGGACGAAGTGGTTGGTGGCCGTAAATCAGGTTTCCCACGAATGTGAGGGAGGTAGTAGCGGCGCAATATGGTGACGGATCGGAAGAATGGATGCAGTGACGCCGATGGGGTTTGAGAGGGTAGAGGAGAAGTGTTTCTCTCGTAAAGTTGAACAACAGCAATAACCCTAGCTGATCAAACGGCTGCGTTCCACCATGCTTTTTTTTTTTTGTTAAAAGATAGAGTTGGGCTACAATAAACATGGCCTCAGAATATATTTCTTCGAAGCCCAATCAATCAAGTTTTTTTAACAATAGCCTAGTAACAAAATATTAATAGACTGGTACATGATTCGCTGGGCCTTGCATTCTATGGTACCGTTTTAGAACATCTCTGAGGTTTATTGCAAAAAGACCGGTTATGGGCTTATTTTTGGATGGCATATTTTTGTTTACTGCATGTATCAACTAGATTTTGGTTTTCACCCCCCCCCCTGACTTTAGAAGTTTCACAACCTTTTTTTCTCTTTTTGTTTTTCCTTCTTTTTTTTTCTTTTCCATGATTTTGTCAATAAAAATATTATAACGGTTTATATATATATATATATATATATATATATATATATATATATATATATATATATATATATATATATATATATATATATATATATATATATATATATATATATATATATATATATATATATATATATATATATATATATATATATATATATATATATATATATATATATATATATATATATATATATATATATATATATATATATATATATTAGAATTTACGAGTTAAGTAGAAATTTATTTTCCTTTTTTTTACTAACTTTTTTTAGGCGATTTTAATCACTAGTTTTATTTGTTTTTATGTCATGTATTCGTTTGCAATCTTTGGTATTATCTTGGTATGAATTGCGGATGATTTTGTTTTTACTTGTATATTCACCATGCTCCCTTTGGTTTTTAGTGCAATTTTAATCCGCCGATTAAATTGAATTAAATAGACTTTAAGTTATAAACCATGCATGACAATCGTAGTTAGGATTTCCCTTCCAAATCAACCTTAGGACCATCATTGTATGATAACATTAGGGATAGATTTAGTCTAGTCTCCCTTAGATATTTTTCTTTCTCTTTGCATCCTTGCATTAAAACAAAAACTTCTTTTCTCTAGCAAAACTTCAAAACATCTAAAAATTACTGATGAGAATTATGCCTTTGTTGAGTATGGGAAATGATAAGCGGGTCTCTTCTCGATCTTATTGTTTTTCCATTCTGAGCTTTGGTATGGTTCAAGTCTCAATGACTTATTTCATGAATAAGTGGAGAAATAGTTAAAATCTATTTCTTGAGATCCATTAGTCATTATACACAAGCTAAAACACCAATAAATGCAAACTCTTTTTGCCTACGGGCTTTTTCTTTAAAAACCTTTTCAAAATAACATGTTAATTCACTTCTGTGCTGACGCGTAAGTCTCCAAAGGTCGAGTTGCGGAAGAAGGAGAAATTAATGTTGTTCATAAAAAAATACTAACCAACAAAAACTTTTGAAGCCGAACTACGGCTGCTCTGATTCCTTAAAAGGGATACGTAGGCATTAGGGTAGGGTCTGAACGAGCACAATTATTATTTTCCCTACATTATTTTCTCTTTCTTTTTGCATGCATTCCCCGTACAGCTTAGATATAAATTTTTATACACCATTTGATTAGAATAACAAGAGTGGATACCGTAGAGTACTACGGGTGTGTGGGGTGCTAATACCTTCCCCTCGCGTAACAAACTCCCTTACTCGATCTCTCGGTCATTTGATCGTGATTTCACGCTTCTCAGGTTTACTCGATGTTTATCTTTCCCTTCTTGTGGGATAAAAAAACGTTTGATGGCGACTTCATTAATTTCATTATCAGTAGAGTATTCAGCCGGTTGTTTCAGTTGGGTGTAGTGTAAGGAAGTAAAGGGCATTGTTCATTGGGGAGTATGCAACATCTATAGGAGTACATGGGCCTATGTTGGCTAAGTTCCCGTTGAAGTTGTTTCTATTGACATGGTTGATCTCTTTCATATAATAACATTGATCTACCTTTATGTTCTCTACAATCCCATATTCTCTCCATATTACTATCCTCTGGTGCATTGATGATGGAACATCCTCCATGCCATGAATTTGTTCACGTCCTAGCAATATATTGTAATTTGCCTTTGACGCAATCACCATGAACATGATGGGCCTTGTAATGGATCCCACAGTGAGATCAACCTGGATTACACCGAAGGTGTGACTCATTTTTCCTTCATGGTTTGATAGGACAATGTTATGAGTTTTAAGGTTCGTATCAAACACACATATCTTACGGAGCAAGCATTGTGGCATTAAATTAATTGCTGCTCCTCCATCAACTAGGATTTTGTTTATTACCATGTTCTCCACCTTACCCATAATAAATAAGGGGTTGATATGGTTCTTCATACCTGAATTCGAGCGTTTGAAGAACGCATTTTGTTCTTCCACCGCTCAATTGTTCATAACATAGTATACGTCTGGCCTTTTCGAATTCGTCAATCGTTTCTTCTTCGGTCTCAGACACTTAATTATATCCGTGTGGCAATACAGATACCACATTTTAGTTCTGACCCGAAGATAATTTGTCTTTTGAGTCCACATTTCAAAAAATAAAAATAGTATGACATGTTTGATTATCTTGGTTCGTTTGAATTCAAACTACTCCAGTCCACCTGCCAAGGTTATTTCACCTCTCTCAATCAAGGTCTTAATCCACTAATCAAAACTTGATTACAATTCACGAAGATAATTGTCAATGTCTTCTTGAGATCAAACCACAACTTGGTTTCTCAAGGAATTACAACTCACAAAGACTACTATCAATGTCTTCTTGATACTAAACCACAACTTGGTTTCTCAAAGAATTACAATTCACAAAGACTATCGACAATGTCTTCTTGAGACTAAACCACAACTTGGTTTCTCAAGGAATTACAAATTTTCTAACAGAACTAATATGTTTAACAAATGCTTCTAAAAAGCTATATCACAATTGTGATGTTTACACAAGGATTAAAGCACAATGATAATACAAGAGAAAATAATAGAGAATGTTTTTTATCGCTCTTGTTGGTAAGTATGAGTTATATCTGATTCTTCTTCATAGTCTTCTTTATATAGAGGAAGTGAATTGAATTGTTGGATACATAAGAAATTATCTTTGGAAGGTTGATAAAATTTTGTTAATGCACTTTCCAAAAATACAAATCTTGTGTTGTTCAAGTCGTTACTCTTTGATTTGTAATGAATGAATTGTAATGCTTCAGAACTTTGCTTCTTTGAAATTTGATCAGAATAAGAATATTAACATTGAGACTTTAGATCATCATAGTTTATTGAGATTCATATCATCAGAACTTAGATGAGACTGACACGTTGAAGCTTCTTTGTACTTTCAGAATATTCACTTATCAGATTATAGCTTGAGCTTAAGTGTTCAGTATTAGAACTTCATAATAGATGAGTGCATTGAGACTTCCTTTGTTCTTCCAGCACACCACTTATCAGAGTATCGGAGTTTAGCTTGCATCTTTGGTGCTTCAGAAGTTATAACATCAAAACTTCTTATATTTAGCGTGTTACACGAATTTGCTTCTAAGTCTGTACGCTTCGTCTAATTAGAACGTAAAAATGGAAATACTCTCATCGTATTCTATGCTCTTTTGTCGGAAATTCTATGCATATTTAAATAATTTATTAGAGAGTGTATTTGTTCTTTATATATATATATATATATATATATATATATATATATATATATATATATATATATATATATATATATATATATATATATATATATATATATATATATATATATATATATATATATATATATATATATATATATATATATATATATATATATATATATATGTATTTGTTATCATCAAAACTATTACTAAGATGTAGACCCAAACTATGTTCTAACAATCTCCCCCTTTTTGATGATGACAAAAACTTATTTATTTTTGATAAACAAGTAATAACATAAAGCATTAGGGTCTCCCTCTGAGTTGAATACTCAGATAAAAAAGAAATATACTTCCCTGAAGATGTTTTATGAGAGCTTTTGATGGAAGTTCTGATAAGTCCATGTAGAAGAAGTTACTTTTAAGAGACACTTTCCTGTTTTATTTCAGAAACATTGAAACAGAAGTTATGATATTTAAAATGTTTGAGACTAAGTCTCGCACTGTTATATTAAAAATATCTTACGTTCTCCCTCTTTTTGTCATTAAACAAAAAGCAATAAAAACACGTAAAGAGAACAAAAAAGTTATGCATTCAAGAATAGAGATTAATACAAACAGAAATAGGCAAACATAAGTTTAAACATAAAGCAGAAGAAACAAGCAAAAGTATAAATCTAAGATTGTGAAGGAGGTGGAAGTCGTGTGAACAATAATTCCAGGAGACTTTTGATCAGATTGTTTGATTCATCTTGCTTGCCTAGAATCCCCTTAATATCTTTATTGGTTTCATCCTGTTTATCGAGCCTTTTCCTGACAGCTTCATTCTCTTTCTTTAACTCATCCAGAGTTTTAAACACTAGAGAAGATATAGTTGTTTCAATAGTAGAAGCCATATTCTCAGAAGTTACTGCAGCATATTCTTTCTAGGAGATTCTTCAACTTACTTGCTTTTGTATTTAAAAACTGCCAGAGGTAGAGGTTGAGGTTTAGGAGATGGTTTCTGAAATTCAGATTCCTATGGAGCTTCCCAAGGAGTGTTGTCCAGAAGACGAAGGGGTTTCCTTACCCAGAAATATAGAACTTGATCCTTGAATATATTCAGGTGATCACAGAAGTTTTGTTGAGCAATTTCATAACTAAGTTCCTTCATCTTTAGAGATTCATATTTAAACAATTTTCGGAACTGAGTCCAGAGGGAATCATAAGCAACTGGATTAAGATCATCCATGCAAGTTAGCTTCAGAGGGTTAACTCATTCTTGCTTTTCTGTCTCGAAAACCAGTAGAGATTTACCAACATCTAACTTGGATGGTTTTGGTGTTGGTTTTGGAATGGCTATTTTCTGAGAAGATGTGACAAGTTTGTCCCAGGCTTCTAGATCAATTATTATTTTGAGAGGATCTTCTTAGTAGTCAGTGGGAGTGGGAGAGTCAGAAATGATGATATGAGTATTAATTGGTGTTGAATTATAAGGAGAGGGAA